AATCAAAATATTTAAATACTTTTTATAAAGTGTTATTTTCTGAACTTTACCAAAATTATCTCATATTCACAGGGAATGAAAATGATCTAACTAGTTGCGTTACTTCATAAAGTAAATTTGATTATCCTATATTGAGTTAGAATTCAAACCAGTCTAACATGAGACTGTTAACGATAAAGACCCTATACCGCTATAAGAAGCGGTAATTTTAGTATATTTCCAACGAATTCTAGTCATTTCTATGAAAACGATTCAGATTAGAATGATTTACAGCTTTTGACTTATACGTTTGAGTCTTTTAGTAGGAACTGAATCAACAATTAACCTATAATATATTGTTTCTAGTAATACAGTAAACCCCATATTACAAACATTCTTATTAAATTTTATCAAAAATTTGATAACTGTTAGAAATTTATTTTTTATAATGTAAGTCCAGCATTTCACTTTGATACTTGTTATATGAAAATTTAAAGTTTAATCGCATCACAATGCGTCGACAATGAAATACAATGAAACGGAATGACAAATAAATTTAAAATTTATGTATACATTTATTCTTGTTTTCAACAATTATTATAAATATTTATTTAAATACAGTTTCTATCAAAATCAAAAATTTTTATTTTCTGCATTAACTATTATAAAAAACGAACAAAAAGTTCTAATAATTACTATAACAAAAGTTTACATTCTTGACGAGTTAGCTTTAGTAGTTCTATCAATTTATTTGTGAAATTATAGTATAAATAAATTTAAAATAAATATTTTAAACGAATGTAATATGAATTTTGTCCAAAAATTTTATAAAGTTGATTTTTTTACATTATATGGAGATTATTACTCTATACACAATAATTTCATTCAAAACTGAAAGCTCANGAATTTAAATTCGAATTGGTTCGATTATAGAACGATTGTAAATGTTCCAGAAAATTGATCAAATTGAAAATAGTTCGTTTGACTGGACATAAAAATTCTCTAATTAGTCTGGAAACGAGGGACCTAATAATTGCATTCTGTGATAACGGGTAAGATTGGCTATAATGTAATTATCTTAATCTTCACTATCGTTACTTTTTGCCCACAAATAAAAACCCAGCGAAGTGGGTCCTTGCAGCTAGTTATTTATAAAAAAAATATATAGTTCTGGCATAAACAATGTTAAATTTTAACTGACTTAATTAATTTTGCAAACGCATCTTTTTTATTTATATGGATATCTTAAGGTCAGTTTTTGCGCTAATGTTGCTAATGCACCATTTGAGCGAAAAAAAAAAAATTAAGGAAAACTTTTCTGTTAGCGAACCCTTTGTTAAATATTTTGAATATCACCACTGCATCAAGGCATTTGCATTTCAGCAGAAATCCACAAGTAAATCTTTCATACCATTGAACATCTACTGATTTGAAAAAGTAAAAACCATAGACATATTTCTTCTTACCTTGTGTATTAACAGCTTAGAACTGTAATACATTCCTTTAGACATTTAAACATTTTAGTATTTTCATAAAAGTATGATCAGGCATTGAACAAAAATAAAGTTGTTGGTTTGTCTGCATTGTAGATATTTTTTATCTTTGAAGAACAAATCTTCACATTTCATATTTGCTTCTTCCATATGCTAACAAGGGGACGGCACAATGTTAGGGTTGCTGATTTTAATCAAACTTGATGAGGATATAGGGCATCCATGATGACTGACACGTGGCAAGCAGATTCAAAACACCACCTCATGATTATGAAACCAGCAAGCCCCACTGAGCCACCAGCTGCTCTATAAATATTGGAAATTCTAATGGTTTTAAGTGATTTGCAATTTTTAACCTCAATTTTCTCTTTTAATTTTGAGTATTACACCTTACTGCTTGGTATATGTTGGTCATCAGGGATGGATTATATCCTCACAAAGTTTGACAAAACTTAGTGACTCCAATGTTGTGCTGTCCCTTTATAAGAGGTACAGAACCTGTACTTTAAATAGTAATAAAACTCTCTGATTAACAACAGTAAGCAGTTAATCTATAAATAAAGTAACAAGTGCCATAAACTGAAATTGAAACTACAGTATTGTATACCATATAAAGTGCAAGATTAAAACAATTGTTTAACATATTAAGAATAAACATCTTAAATTAATTCATCCAATCACAAATTGATTTTGACTGTTGTGCAGATTCTTTCAAAGGAATGAAAAGGCTTAAAAACATTATTATTATATATTTTGTCAGATGACTGTTATTAACCATCGACAAGGAGTGTGTGTGATAACAAATGCAAATCTGAATTAACCTTTTGCAGTTTATAGGTAGGAGAGAGTACATGCACAAAATATTAAGTGTAGATGGCCAGCCTTCAATTATTATTAATAAAAAAAAATGTTATTGTCTGTTATATAGAGTATGATAAGGATGTTCTTTATAACACACCATATAACTTTGCTAAGAACACTGCTTACTATGAGGGCATCATTGTGATGTTCTTAACTGACTCAAATCCAGATGTTTCTGGAATTTTTCAAACTTTAATATTTTTTAAAATCGTATTATCGTGAGATCTGACTAGAGTAAATTCATTGCACATTATCAGACCAAGCTTTATCAAACTGTACTGTACTGCATTCTTTTGTCCTTGTTGACAAAAGCACTCTTCCATAATTTACTCGGGTAATGTAGTAGCTCAGTTAAACGAATCTCGGTTTAATCTGAACTCTACTGTAATTGTAGTATTTTTTTTCAATTGTTCAATAATGGAAACGCAGAAAAACTTGGAAACGAAACTTGGAATTTGACATTTTTTCCCTTTAAATCTTTATTTTGATGTCGAAGAATAAGTGAATTAAACACTTTGTTCTTCAGATATTTTGCAGGTACAATAAATCGCTCAAGTTGTTTCATGAAAAAAAAAACAAANCTCAAATCCAGATGTTTCTGGAATTTTTCAAACTTTAATATTTTTTAAAATAGTATTTATTTATATTTTGTCTAATTTAAATATGTATTTAATTTGTTAGATAGTATTTCTTGATTTGGAGACTTGCATTGATCTAGTTTCTTGGAATGGACTAACTTTATTATTTTATAGCTATATTACCTTGTCACTATACTTACAAATTTAAAACTGGTTAGTTACATTTGGTTGTGAGCAGATCAAAACTTTTTGTCTGTCAGTAAAAATGGTATTATTGCCATCAATGTCTAAAGTTTCATTTCCTGATACTTCTGACAAAATTTATTATGTGGCAATTAAAAATTCAAGTGTTGTTTTAACACAACTTTTAAAAGACATGTTTATTTGAAAGAATTATTACAAATCAGCATAGAATCCATGCAAGACAATCCATTGGCAAGTATTTCAGAAACAACAAAAACAAATTAAATTTTGTTTTTGTTGATCAAACTTTTATTTATAAAATCGATACTATTTTAACAAATGTTTGGAAAGAAAGACCCCAGCGGTGTAAGAAGTCAAAGTTGGATCAGCATCATGGCAGGCAGAGATCTTAGCATGCTGCCAAGCAGGGCTTTTAAGACATCATCCTTATTGTGCTCTTTACATCAGACACTAAAATCTTTTTCATTAACTATTATTAAACAGATTGCCAGCTACACTTATTATTTTGTGTTTATACTCAGGAGACTTCAATTACAAACTGCAAAAGTTTCATTCAGTTTTGAGTTTCCTACCATGCTTAATCTTCTTGTAAATAAATTTAAACTTATCACTAGTATCATCATTATAAGTAAATTTTTAATTACAAGAAGTGAAAATTCTGTAATTTTATTTTATTTATATTTTGGGACATGTTATTAGTTGTGTAATATCAGAATCAACAATATCTACACAATTACACTAACTGGCACCTATTGTACCAGTGCCCTTCTTCATAATCATGTTACACTATGAAAGAGTTGTATAAAACTTGCTGTTATAAATAAACTGCATTAACTGAAAGCGCAAGTAAGCATTTGTCCACTCGCTGCACACATATAGCACCCTACCAAGTAAACTGATACGACATCATCTGTAAATATCTAAGTGTACCTAGTTGTAGGTATTATCAAAATACATTTTTTATCTCAGTACCACACACAAAATTATACTGTACTTTCAAATAAATTTTAAAGTGTAGAAAAATATGCACATTTGATGAAAATAATTGAGCCGTTATAAATCAAAGTGGTATAAGTCCATTTATTCATACATTGAGATATTTGAGGGTTTGAGTTTGAATAAACTGAAAAATATTGACAAATGTTAATAAACTCAGGTAATGTTTTTAAAACTATAAACCTGTTAAATTTTATTATGTAATAATTAATAAAACTGTTAAAGAAAATAAATGATTTTTTTTAGGTACAAATGGACTCATACCACTTTCAATAATAACATATTTGTTCACAATAACAAACTATGAAAAATATGAACAACAACAATTTTAAATTTATAATTGAATTGAAGTTGGCTTTTCTGAAATATATTTTTGGGCTGCAATTTGAAAAGACTGTACACTTATAAGTTTCCACAGTTGTCCTTCTGTTTGTCTGTCCTTCCTTAATCTCGAGAAGTGAGTAGGATGAATGAAAAAACCAGAAATGGAAACCTTAGGGGCAGGAGGACCCCAATTAACTATGTATGATTTTCCAGTGCAAACCAGAAGTCACGTTAATTCAATTCAAAAAGTTTTTCCCGAAAGGTGTTAGAACATTCTTTCGATACCATTTTACGGTTAGTATTCTTTTAATTAATTTACAAGGATATTGTACACCATTGACTGTTATTAAATATATAAAAATAGGACATCTATGTCTAAAACTATCACTAACTTCTTTTTTCAAAAAATGGACTTACACCACTTTCATTTATAATTGCTCAATTAAAAACAGCTGATTATTATGTTGTTTAAAAGCATTTCAACTTTCTTTTGATGTATATTTATTTTCCTTCGAAATTAAACAAAATTTCAATATTCATAAACATCAAATTTTGAAAATCTTACCTTTAGTGTACGAAACCGTTCCGATTTACATAATTCATCTACTTCAGTGCATTTACCATTATCTAAAATTTCCTAAACAAATATTCAGTAATTTAAATAATAGAAATTATATTACTTTCCATTCAACTAAGAATATAAATTTCTATAGTTACAGTTTCATTTATAATTTAAAAATTCATAAAATAAAGTAAATATTAAGTTAATTTTATTTAGAATTTCAATTTCTTGAAAAAACAAAGTTTTTTCTATTATTACTATTTGTAAAATCTACATTTCAGGCATAAATATTCAACAAATAAAATTTCCAATAACCTTTTAAATATTTTAAAAATACAAATAAAGAAATAACTGTGCAGTTTAATAACTGTTAAACAAACAACTTGACACCTAAATGAGAATTCCAGTGTAAAATGAACAAATAAAATTTAATGTTCAAATGTTTTCGGTCGTCTTTCACAGGCCATCATCAGGAAAGAATACAGGAAACACAAAAAACAGTTCTATCTTTTTGAAAATATCTAACTTTCGAAGTTAGCTGTTCTAATTTTTAAACATTTAAATTATGTTCAATACAAAAATTGTTCCATTTACATCATATAAATTAATTATTTTTTAAATAAAGCTATAAATAAATTCTTTATTATTATATTATATTATCTTTCTATTGTTTTTCTGTTGTTGCAAAATTTCTCCCTATTGTAGGGAGAATCTGACACTTTTTAGTCTTAGGGGAATTTTTTTGTTTTTGTAGTCAGTTTTATGAAACTTAGTATTTAACAATATTCCCATTTTATGCCAGAGACAATGTTGTATCAAAATGTTGATGTTTTTAATCAATCAATTAATTAATTTTTATGTTTAAGTCTAGACTCAAAAACTGGTCTTTTAGTTGGGAAAACATGGTTTTCAAATTATATAAATTCCTTCAAAAACTGGTTTTTAAAAACCAACAAACCATAATTGTATCTGGTCCAATTCCACATGAGGGAAGGGAATATGCTGAATAAATAATGATGTTTCAGTTCACTTTTGTCTTTTTTATTCATTTATTTTCCACTGTAATGCTTTTTTACATTGTACAACACCACATTTTTTTCATACAATTGGAACTACAATTTTTTTACAGAATCTTTCTTCCTATTTCATTTGTTTCCAACTAAATTTGGTACAATTCCAGTTATTATATCAAGCTACACAATGCTTTAAATCAGTGTTTCTCAACCTCTAACGAATCGTCACCCCCTTCAACGCAGTATCGCCTCCTTCAGTAAAACCGTTACGTAGTATAACACCCTTCATTAAGAAATTCCGATGCAGAAGGCCAAGACTAACACCAAATTCATACTGCATTGAATAGAATAGTGATTAGTATAATGTTATTTGTTTAATTATTGTATGATATAACAAATTAAATATCTAATTATTCTTAATATATTGTTTTACTATATCGCCCAGAAAATTGTTTTTTGCCCCCCCAAAATATAAATTGTTACTAATCGCCCCCTCAGCATGGAAAAACGCCCACATGGGGGCGATATCGCCCCCGTTGAGAAACACCGCTTTAAATAGTATGAGTTTAAATTATGACTACTTGTATATATCTCTTAGCAATCTAAGAAATAAGATATTTAAAGAAAAAAAATGCAAAAGTAGTATTAAAATATAAACACTTAAAAATTTATCATACTCTAATAACATTTAAACTATGTCTTCCAATATCTTTCATGTTTTCCACTTGTTCAATCCTGGTTATTTCAGTTGGCAAACTTTTCAAAACTGATGCAGCTTTTCTGAATGCTAAAGCTCTTCCCATATTTATCGAATCAGTTTCTAGTTCTGCACTTTCAGCTAAAATTTCCAAAGATTCCTACATTAAATAACATAAATGTTACATAAAAAATTATTATGATTTGAAAAATACAATTATTTATATTTTTATAATTTAAAAAGCACAAATTTGAAATTTTTTTAATTCAAATATTTATCATGTGTGATATCAAAAACTTTTATTCTTAAACAAATCAATAAGAGGAATACAAAATTATTCTCAATGGCAAACATCTTAATAAAAAAACTAAGAAATAAAAATAAATATGCATAACAATCAAAAACAATAATTTGTAAAGAATCAGCTATAGTATATCAATCAACCATATATAGCAGCATGATGATTTATTAAACTGGAAAAAAAACTAATGTTTTTCATCATATTTAATGACTATTGGGTTGATGTTAAAAAAATAAAAATAATCAAATTTACAAATACTAAATGGAAATAGAATAGATATACAAATGCCAAACATACTTAATATACAAATGCAAAAAAATTCTAGTCTGCTGCATTGCTGACATGCATGAAAAACACATATAAAATAGTAACAAAATGCATGTTGGAAACCAGGATTTCCAAGCACTTGATATTGTGTTTTGGTATTGACAGAGTTCCTCTTACACATTAATTTATAGATTTGAAGGACCTCAACATGTCTAAAGTGGTGCTTGTTTCTGGTATGCTTGGTGACCAAATCCAAGGTGTAAGCAGCCCTGGCTGCTTACATCTTGGACCTTGGATTTGGTTGAGGTTGGTTGGAATGAAGCTAAGATCATCAAGCATATAAGAAACAATGGGCATATTCAAAATCTCAATGTACCTCTGTTCAAAATCTCAGATAACTTCCAGTTGCTTCCAGCAAACTGCAAGTGTCTTTTTCGATGCTCAATACACCAGCAAATAAGATGCCAGCCACAATAAAGCTCCTTAAGAGCTATATTTTGCATTGACAATTTTGAATTTAATTTATTTGTTGATGAATACACCCTGAATAAATTAAAATTTGGTTAGTACATTAATAGAATATTTTAATATATTAGTACATTTACATAAGACATCACATAATTTGTTTTAGTTATTAAAGTGCAATCTTAGGATTTATTTAATTATTTAAAACTCCTATGGAAATTTAAAAAAGCTTCACCCCTATTTCTCTTTTCGAAATATTCATTTTTCATTAAGCTGTTCTTGTTAAGTAAGTTCAAAAATAAAATTAATGTAACATGGATATCCACATCATTTGCCAATTTTTGTTTTTCTCTCCCAAAATTCCTGACAGTCAGTGTTTGTGTTTTCTAGAAAACGCTAGCAGTTGCATCACTTCTGGCAGCATCACACTGGATTTATACTGAGATTTTGAATAAACCCAATGTGTCTAAGTTGGTGCTTGAAGCCATCCATAAATCAATGCATGAGGGAAATTCTGCAAACTACAAGGTCTTAAATAAAATATTAAGTGCTTAGAAATCCTGGTTTGAGATGCATAATATGAAGTAAATTTTGTTACTGTTTTTTTGTCTTGGTTTTTTGTACATATCATAGTGATGTAACAGATTTTAAATGTAAAAAAATAAAAAATTCTACAAACACATTTTGCATATTTCTGTTATATTTCCATTAGTATTTATAAGTGTCCAATTTTTTGATCATCAACCCAAGTCATTATATATAACCAAAAACAATAGTTTTTCCAGTTCTATAAAAATCACCTTTTTTTTTATTGCTGTACAAGATTGTGTATAGATTGAGTCAAAAAATTTCAAATACATTTCTTACTGTTAGTCTGCGATTATGATGATGAAGTGGATTCATTCTTTGACAAGCATATCTCGGAACTCTTTGATAATCAGTAGATTCATTATTTTCATTTTTTGTCTGAAATTATGCAAGTATATTACATCTAAAATGTAAACATTGCATAATGTTTTTATATGTATATATATAAAGCCATTAAGTTTTGTATAGTACCTTTAATATTTTTAAACAATGATGAGGTTGTACTTCTATTACTTTTCTTTGTTTTACGCATTCTGCAAACCATTTTGTATTTACAATTTTTGGATGTTTTCTCAAATTCCATTCATCCATGTTCATTTTTAATGATTTTATAACTTGAGCTTCTTCATCAAATTCAGTCACAATATACATTACATCATCACTATATTATGAAATCATTTTTCAGTTTTAAAAAACAAAGAATTTTCAATATTTCAAAAGTATTTTTGTTATAGCATAAAGTTATATAAATTATAAGATACAAAAACTTTCACTCTGCAGTGATTGACACTAGAATGAGTGAACAACAATCATATGTATTTTGGTAATTTCTCTTTATATCAATTTCATTTCATAAAACTCAATATACAAGCAAATACTGGCTACTAAGGTAGCTAAGGCATATGACTACAATAATAAAAGGACTACAGGCTCAATTTTCGCTCAAATCCCTAAAAATTTTTCACACTTTGGCAAAGATATGTCAGATCTAAGATATTAATGGTGAATGACATCCATTGTCCCATGAAAAACTGCCTAGAAAGATAAAGATGCTATGTCTCAAATGCTTCCTGTCTAATTCCAAAGTGTAAATTTTATAAAATTCAATTGAAATTTCAGGTAAACCTGAAGTAACCAAACTATACTAAGTAAATTTTTAAAGTTAATCCAAACTAAAAATGATAAAATTGTAAAACAAATTGATTAAGTGCAGAATTAAATATGATTCAAACATATATCCAGGATATTAGGACAATTTCAAACAGTTAATGTAAACAATAGCAGCTTGGAGAGAAAATTAATTATCTTGTATAACACTCTTCAGTTTTTATTTGAAATGCCTCCAAACAGACAAATTTTGACTGGACACAGCTTAATTTGAATCTAAGAAAATTTAATTTAAGTGACATAGGGTTGTACACAAGAATGTATTCATGGTCTGTAACTTAGCAGAAACAGAATAATACAGTAATAAACACAGAAGTCAACTGCTGGTATCACTCATAAAATTGTTGGCATTGGTCACCTGTTGCATCTATACACAGCTGTGCATATCAAATCATTGTTTATTACAGAACTCTCCCGAGTAATAATTTCACTAAAATAATTAGCTTGGAAACTACAGATGAAGGAGAAAGAACTTAACGATTATAAATTGGAAATGTCAAAAACTCAAAAATTAAATTCATACACCAAATTTTTTACAATTTTATTTTAATTCCAGAATTATTAGAATAATTGAGCTTTAGATGACAACTCCAATTGAAAGAGAAAACGAATGAATAAATATATAATTGAATTAATGTTGGCACAAAGATTTATAGATCCTCAATAATCTTCAGGAGAATTTTCTAATTAAAACAAAATTAGATAAATGGAAAACATGGTAAAATCTAATAATTATATCAAAGTTCTATTAAAAATAATTAATTAAAAATTTTGAAAAATTAAAAAATCAAAAGGATAATAATAATTTAAATTTCTCCAGAGTAGAATGAAATACTGTCGGAAAACTTTTAATCTCTTACAAGTTTGGAAACAATTATCCAATTATATTTTATTACTTGAAGATTTAACTCTGGAATACCTAAACATGATAATTGATACTATAGATCCCAATTGTATAAAATATAATAGACAATGGTCTAAGGATGCAGATCAAATTTCATCAGTCTAATTCAATAAAATCAGCTGTGTATATTGAATGGTTGTATCAATACCAAATTCCCATCAGAAAGTACTTGTATTACTAATACTGGTAAATCATCATAAATTTAACTATTTCCTCTAAATTTTTACCAGATCTTATAACAAAATGCAGTATAATTAATTAACCATTCAGCTGATTATTTTCCTACCTTAACAGTGATCCTTGTTGGTTCAACATTTGTAGGAGATAACCATAAAATGATAAATCAATTAGTGAAACAACATTATAACTCAAATATTTCATGATGATGATAGAGAACCATAAGTAATAGACAATAAGTAATAACTATTAACAGAATGCAATGTTTTATATTTGAAAATCACAAAATTTATGAATAGTTTTATAAGTAAGAGCATAGCAAAAAAAAAAATATTAGAAATTTTTAAGAAACTAAAAAAACCCTGTTTGAATGTTGTTGTTATAAAACAAAAGTTAAATTAATGAAAAGTTTAGTATAATTTAGAACGTTTTCTTATGAAGAAACTTTGTAGTATTACAGGAAAAACAGCTTATTTAAATTGGTGTAGCATTATAAATTATATGCTTCATTTATAGATCTGGAGAAGGCATCTGATTCCATGCATGTGCCTAAGTTAGTGAAAAAATTAGAAGGAAAAAGAGCTAGAAGTTAACTTTTCAAGACTATTTTCTTTATTGTAATAAATAATGAAGTACTGGTATGTCTGAAAAAATAATGTTTCCAAAGTTTTTAAATCTGGAATTATGTGAAAAAATGTTCAATTAGATTATTTATAATTCTGCCAATATACAAAGTATTATAAGACCAATCAAGTAATCAATCATTTGTGATATGAAAACACAATGAATATAAAAACTTTTGGCTGCTATCTGCACTGCAAACAGTACTTAAAATGTTAATAATTTGTTAAACAGTCTCTTTAGAAAATGCAATTTTCAATTTTATATCATTTACTTCCTAAGTTAAAAAATTTCTATAATGTGCAAAGAAAATCTAATAAAAAGATATTTTGATGATATGAAACCGTGCTTTGCTATTTGTTTATGCTTCTGACACAATATAGTGCTATAAATTAAGACACTTGGCGGATTTTCTCATCTTTATTTAGTTGATACGTGTGGAAAAAATTACACGTTTCGAGCTCTTAAGCCCCTCTTCAGTCAACTAAAACATTTAAAAAGGATATAACATACACATAAAAAGGAATACACAAGTTTTGTAAAATTTTTAAAAAATAAAACATACCTATCCATACAGGTTTTATAAATTAAAGTAGCAGTTTACTTTCGATATTTTTTCAGCAACATCAGCTTATTCACAGTATTTTTTCTTGTAGCCTACTATAATATTAGGAGAGTATACAACGTATCTATATAAAACTATACATAAGTTTTATAGTATCTATAAAACTATATTTAATTAAGGCATACCTTGAGTACGGCTGTTATTAAGGTTGTACTGTACAAAATTGATTATACCTTTTACTTATAAAACAGTCTTACAAAATCCTTGGTCTAAAATATACCTTAGACAACAATTATCAAATTGGTATACAATTGATTATGCTTTTTACTCATAAATCTGTTTTACTAAATCCTTATTTCCTTTGATAAGCATTGACAATATAATACGAATTTACATAACTTCTACAATATAAATTTACATATCTGACATCTACTATATTTTTACAATATATGATTGTTGATTTATTTAACATTACAGTATTTAATATTATAGATTATTATATGAACTAATGACATTACAATGTCTTGAGGTTGGTAAACAGGATTAACATTTAATATAAATTTACATATTATTTGATTCCCGTTACAACATTACAGTTTTTTGTTATTGTTGATTTATGTAACAGTTCAATCGTTATTATTAATTAGCACATTGATCACAATAATAATAGTTTGAATGTAGTGAATACAATTAATATAAAATTTTTAACCAGTTTTCGTTTATTGAGATGCTAGGATTTTTATTTATACTATTTTGATTTTTGATTATTTCTATACTTTCCTTGAATTTTCTTTTGT